CTTTAAGGTCGAAAATGCATTGAAATCGCACATTTTCACCATTCCGAACCCGGATCTCAGTTATGCATGGACGGATTTTGTTCAAATTTGGTACATACATTAAACATAATAGGACCTTGATGCATGTCATCTTTTTTTTCGGATGAAGTTCGAAATGGCCGACTGGCGGCCATTTTGTTTTAATAAATTCAGTTCTGGATCCGTATCCAAGACATGTCTGGATTGATCAAGTTCAAACTTCACACACACATGGTACATCATGTCACAAATAGATATGTGCATTTGTTTCATGATCCGCTTAACAATAGCTGAATGATGGCCATTTTAAGGCCGAAAATGCATCAAAATCACATATTTTCACAATTCCGGAACCTGATCTCGGTCATGCATGGATGGATGGATTTTGTTGAGATTTAGAACAATGTGTTGTACATATGCAGGTGCATTTCGGTCATGATCTGCTTTGAATGTATATGTCACTCAAATATGAACGGAACAAGGACGTGTCATTGACAATGACTTGTTTAATTACTGTAATACACGGGAACTGTTCCTAACCGCTCTTTGATATTGTATTAAGATTACTCAATACCACAAGGTACAGGTTTAATGCTCTCAAAAACACATTTATTGATCAACTAAAGCATCTTCTAAAATTAAAAACATTTCCCCATTCTACCATATGTGGTGCACTTCACCGGTATGCAAAAATTGGGAGAAAAGAATGTGTGAGGTGCAGATTGCAAACTGGTATACTTTTTTTGTTGTCAAATCACATATACATTTGTATGTTTCAATTCTGATTCTCCACGTCTTTCCGTAGTTGTATCTGGTTATGTTTCTGCCAACTTTTATCGCAGAATTGGTGGTGATAAATGGGTCTGGAATATCATTCTAACTACGTGCCTCTTTTCTGGTAAGTAAAAACATTTCAGTTATGAAACTGTGATGACAAAATACAACACTACAGTCATATGGTTACCATATTTACTCTATTAGAAGCTCATCATGGAAACCCTGCAATGGGCACACCATGGAAACCCTGCAATGGGCACACCATGGAAACCCTGCAATGGGCACACCATGGAAACCCTGCAAAGGGCACACCATGGAAACCCTGCAAAGGGCACACCATGGAAACCCTGCAAAGGGCACACCATGGAAACCCTGCAAAGGGCACACCATGGAAACCCTGCAAAGGGCACACCATGGAAACCCTACAAAGGGCACACCATGGAAACTGTACAAAGGGCACACCATGGAAACCCTACAAAGAGCACATCATGGAAACCCTGCAAAGAGCACATCATGGAAACCCTACAATGGGCACACCATGGAAACCCTACAATGGGCACACCATGGAAACCCTACAAAGAGCACATCATGGAAACCCTACAATGGGCACACCATGGAAACCCTACAATGGGCACACCATGGAAACCCTGCAAAGGGCACACCATGGAAACCCTGCAAAGAGCACATCATGGAAACCCTACAATGGGCACACCATGGAAACCCTGCAATGGGCACGCCATGGAAACCCTCCAATGGAGGCAACCCGAGAAACCCTCCAATGGGCACAACCCGAGAAACCCTTAATTGGCACATCCTGGGAACCCTGCAATTGGCATGTCCTGGGAAACCTTTCAATGGGCGCATCCTGGGGATCTTGCAGATGGGGCATCATGTGGAGACCCTATAATGGGTGCATTCAGGGAACCCTGTAATGGGTGCATTTGGGGAACCCTGCAATGGGTGCGTCCTGGGAACCCTGCAATGGGTGCGTCCTGGGAACCCTGCAATGGGTGCATCCTGGGAGCCCTGCAATGGGTGCATCCTAGGAACCCTGCAATTGGCATGTCC